ATGGTTGGGTTCATGAACCCCAAATTTTTCTCCTGCCATTAAATATTGGGGCCAAAGTATGCGCAATTGTTGGCCCGTAAGAAAGAAGAGTAGCAGCGGTAGAATACAAATCCCAGATTTGACTGAGTGAGAAAAGGAAAAGCCGTGTAAAGATTTCATCACTGGAAAGGACGACAGAAAATTAGGGGAAAGGGAAAGAGCATCAAATGTGCTGCAGTGGATATATATGGGATCACTTCATTTATTAGTCAAATTGTACCATTAAAAAAAGCATATTATTCCTTCCCACTTAGATTTACCTGCTCAGGTTGATTGGATAAGAGTAATAAATGAAGAGTTAAAAATATTTTAACATAGGTAGTAGTCTTTAAAGACAGTTAAATAACAAAACAAAAAATTCCCTATTATCAGTTGTTTAAGTCTGAAAGGAGTTGGATTGGATGGTAAGATGAAAGGGATTGTTGACCTCTTACTTGTTTATGGGAAAATTTTTTTTTTTTTAAAACAAAATCCAATGTATGTCAAAACGAGAAACTTTTTAGGGTTTGTAATACTTAATATTTGCAAAAAAAGTGTTGATTGAGTTGATACATTAACAGATGAACAAATTAATGATAAGAATTTCCTAATGTTAGTTTACTAGATTTTGCATATCATTGATGCATGGTCCTTTTTGGTAACATATTAATTAATTGTACTTGGACATTTTTTTTGCATATAGCGTAAAATTTATTTTGTTAAATGTGCATGTCGGGATGCTACACTATAATGCTCATAACGCAAAATACAACAAAATCTTGTGAATTACGCTAGGCCTCCGATATTGAATCTACATTCTAGACTTCAAAACAAACAAAAAAAAAATCATTGCATATGACCGGAATAACATGGAGTTGAATTTGCAACTTATACATCAAATTCTATTTTCTATATCCTCATACAATGAACGGATGAATGATCCTTTCTTGGACATTGATTTGCTGTTTGTATTCCTACAGAGAAACACAGCTCTTAAATTCCAGTAAATGTTACTGGCATTTTGATCCATGCTATGCACGGATTTAGGCTTTGTTTGGATTGCCCGTTTCCGTCGAAAAATTACGTCATTTTCCGTGATCACATTTCCCTATTACCTTTTTTCCTCACATATATCAAATCGTTACAGTAATTTTTCCATGAAAAATCACGGAAAATGCAATCCAAACACAACCTTATATTTTAAAAACTTTGAATCGAAGAATACGGGTTTATATTTCATTCACTGCTCTTAAATTCTAAATGTTACTACTTGAAAGGAAAAAGACAATTGGATTGACAAGCCTTAAAACGTCGTACTTAAATTGACTCCGCTCGCATATTGGGACTATTCCCTTAAAGAGAGTTTCATTTTCATATGAGAGGGAGAGGGAGGCGTTTTACCTGCCCATTTTGTGGTTATGCAAAACAAACGCTTGATCAAAATCATTAACTAAACGTGTAACAAATCTGAGCAATTTTCAAGGGGCAAATCTTCCTCAAGACAGAGACAAAAGGCTGGGGCTGGCCGGTTTGGTGGGAGTTTGCCATTACTATGAATTGCCTTATGCTCCATATCTTTTTCCCCTACATCCATCCACTGTGCAAAGACATGGACTCATCTGGCTCTTTCTGTCTAATTTTATCGTTAAAGTTAAACCGTATGGTGTGTTGGGGGAAGCAGCATGAGAATGATACGACGATTAGTGATCATGCTAATTGTCCTCATTTTTGGAAACCAGCCATTGCAAGAAATTTTGGTCCAAGTAACTTCTGAGCAGTCTATGAATTACCACATCTAATTATCTATTATAAGTATTAGATTGCAAGAAACTCACGATGATACGTGTACTAGTAATACGAAATAAATTACACGTAACATCTATTATTTTACTAATACAAACTAGCTGACAAATGTTAGGATGAACACTACCCAACAATTTTAGGGGACTCGAGTAAGATAGAACAAAAAAAAGAAAAAAAGAGTAAGATAGAACAAGTGGAAAACACGTTCAAAATCCAAAAATGTTTTTTGTTAAACAAGCACATACAACTCATGCACTCTTATTATTCGGCTGTAGTTTCCCCTTGTTCAAATTTTCGTTTGGACTGCTATTTTTTTTTTTAAAAATTTTTGGTAGAAAAATGTATTATAGCGATTTGATATATGTGAGATGAAAAAGTAATTGAAAAATCTGTCCATTAAAAACGCAAAATTTTTTTATTGCAAAACCACAATCCTAACAAGGTTTTCCTTTTTTTTTTTGTCCCTCTATATTGCTTTATATTTAAAGCTTAATCTTTGCCCTTTTTTATCTGCCATTTCTTTATTTATATTAGTAAGGCTTAAAAACCCAAAACTAAAGCAAGTATTTAAAATACCAATGCGTTAGTATGCAGAATATCATTAGGAAACTTTTCTTGTTGAACTCTTGATTTGTATGATTTCGCGTTTTTTTCAGTCTAGTTTTTCCGTCTTTTCCTTTTATGATGCAAATAATCAACTATTCAAACAAATATTATAATTTTTTTTATCTCACATATATTATATCATAAAAAAAAATATTACAGTAATTATTTCAAGTAAACTCACATCCAAACATACTAAAGACTCATTTGGTCATCTTTATCTAATTTTCTTTTCTTTCCTATTGATGTAGTAGTAAATTTGGAAAAACAAATACTACACAGTCTCTAGTATTTTGGGGAGCAATAATAGCTAGTAGAGTACTAGTACTGATCAGATCTGCTTACTACCATACACACAAAAAGTTTGACCACCCTAGCGGTTGTGGGGAGTCCGTAGTAGTGGTAAGTAATAGTGGTGTGGTCTACCACGACCGCGGCGGAGAATGTTACCACTAGGAAGGAGAAGGAGTAGGAGTAGGAGGAAATGAGAGGGAGTGGGGCCCAAACCACGTCATCTCACTTCCCCCCACATCTTCTCTCTACAGATATGTGACAATTAGGCCAACGCGAGGAAATAATTTCTAGATCGGCAGCTGCTGCCAAAATTAACCCCCTCCCCGGCCCACCCACAGCACCCTCGGGCCTTGACCCTCTCTCCCTCTCGGGATCTGTGGTCCCCCCCTCCCCCTTCCCTTTCTCTCTCGGAAGTTCCGTGACCGTGACTCGAGTTTTCCCCCCGAACAACCACTGTCCCTCTTATCTCCGCCCTCGATTTTTTTATTCCGACGGTCAAGATCTGGCCCGCTGCTCCACGACCCCCACCGAAAACTGTCTAGTTTAATCGCCAGCATGGACTTGTTTGTTCCCTGGAATCTTTTTATTAGCTTCAAATTACTATTTATTTAAGTCCATCCCGCCACGTCAGTCCTAATCTAACGGAGGATGCACCTTCCCATTTCCACATTTGGAAGATCTCAGCCGTTGCTTTTGCCTTTTCTGTTTTTATTTTGGGGTACACCATATATGGGTCCCACATGTCCATTTTGATTTAATAATAAAAGAAAAAAACGATTGCAGTCTGGCAGTTGCTGCAGCTGCAGCAGGGAGGAGTAGTAGTAGTGCTAAATGCTCCTTCCTAATCACTCCATACTAGGAGGCATGGGCCGCGCGTCGCGCGGCGACAATTTATAATGGATGCCCATAAAGAATATATAGTGGGTATATAATTTGAAAAATAAAAACGTGATATTATTGTATGTAATAAGTGGGTGCCATAGATTCTTTCGGGTGGCATGATGCCATGAACCCGGTTAAATCTTCCTCTAATTCTTTCAATTATTGCACCCGTAAGAACAAGGAGACACTCCAGGACAACCAAAAGTATAAAGTGCAATGGAATAGTTCTTACTTTGAACCACCAATGCCAGCCCTCAACACACCTTTAGACAGCATCACAGACCAAAAGGATGGAGGAGAAGAGCGATTTTAGATGTGTTGAATGTTCTTTTCCCATCAAGAGTCTCTACATTCAGTATTCTCCCGGAAACATCCGCCTCATGAAATGTGGGAATTGCAAAAAGGTGGCTGATGAATATATTGTGTGTGAAGTCATGATTATTCTAATTGATTTGATTCTGCACAAGCCTAAGGCATATAGACATTTGTTCTACAATATGTTCACCAGGGACATTCTGGATTCTGAGTGTTTAATGTGGAAACTACTATTGGGTTTTTTAATGCTGGATTCTTACAGAAATTGGGTGTTAAATGCGAATGACTCAGAAAGCACTTCGTTAATGAGCTTTGCTGCAGCCTGCAGTATTGCGGTTCTGTAAAGATCTTGATTGATGTTGTTTTGGGAAATTTCTTGTTTATGTCTGTGGTACTCATCGGTTCTGCAAAGTTTCTGAATGCTTCAGTTGGAGTTCTGAAGGGCAAAGATACAGCCCTTACCATGCTTGTTTCCAGTTACTTTAAGATCTTTCTTATCGCCATGACGGTATGGGAATTTCCTTCTTCCATGATCATCATAATTGATATGTTTGTTCTGTCATCAAATACAGTTGCTTTAAAAGTGATCGTCAACTCAGCCACCATTAGATGCTTTGGGGCCTGCGTCGCTGCGCATGCTGTGAAATTTTTTGTCAGTGAAGGGCTCAGAACACTGCATTTGAGCTAATAATATTCTTATAGGGACTCTATTCCATCTGAACATTTGGATCCTTATTAGATTTGAAACCAATCGAGAGCAACCTGCTCTGCAATCTGATTTGAACACATCAATGCCTCAGATTGTTGACCACAGTCGTACCTAGCAGTGCTGGCTTGCATCCGTTGCTGGTCATGAGGGCATTATTTGAAGACACTACAATTTGGTCCTCTCATAATCTGCTTCCCTGTAGACGTGGTTTTGATGATGAATTGAAAGCGGGAAAACCATATCCCAAATTCTCCTGATTTATATGGTAACTCAAAACTTACTGAAAGCGGAAAAACCATGAAGGGTCTACTACAGATTTCACTAACAATATAAATATCAATAATCACCATGAGGTGGTATAGTTTCTTAGTATATATTTTTTTTCCGAAACGATATTAGCCATATATTAATCATCAACTAACCTTTACACTTGGAGCAAAGGCCCCTAATTCTATACAAAAGTGCTCAATAGCACAGAGGATTTATCCATTCCTCATCATGCAATATACCTAAGGCATACTCCCCAACTGTAGTACTAACATGATTATCATTTTTAGATATATTACCAAAAGAGCACATTTGAAACAGCACTCTCAAGCTAAGAATATCCTCCACAAGAGTATGCAGCTTGATATTTGATGCACTCCCCGCACTAATTTGCTGATGCAGGTGTTTGTTGCAGCTTTGGATCTTGACTTTTCTCCAACCTCTGACAGCCAAGTTTCTTAGTATATAGAATCTGACTAAAACTAAATTTTGAAGCTAAAATGCAGGGTCGAAACTTTTCTATGCCTTTCCAAGCTAAATTTTGAAGCTAAAATGCCTGGGTTGCAACTTTTCTATGCCTTTCCTGGTGAAGATAATAATAGCAAAAGTTGTTCTAGATTGGGGAATCACCAACTTTGAGGGAGTGATTAGTAACAAATTTGTCCAGTTTTGCTATTTCCTCTTATAAGAACAAGTGAAGGAATCCTTGTTTCATGCAGTCTTTATCTGCATACTCCAATACTTCCTACAAACAAAGGATGCACAAATAGCAATTAGCTTTGAAATGAGTACTAATCTTTCAACTACTTGTACACAAGAAGTATGTTCTCACAACTTCCAACATCATAAAGGAAAAAGCTATGGGAAAATGAAAATGAAGCTTAGATCTGTACCAGCATAAATACTTCTATTTGCTATTTAATCCAGTTTTTTTTTCCTTTCTTTGCCTTACACTTCCCCGAGTGGGTTAGTTTAGAAACATTGATTTTCCAGTTACACATTTTAACCAAGAATATGACATAAAGTCCACAAATAATATTCACCTCCCAAAATTATCCAAAAAAGCATTTTAAAGGTTAGCGTCTTCTTAATCCCAATATGCACCAATCCTCAGTGAACCTTAAGACTAAAACATTCTAAACTTTATTGAAGAATTACACTTTGGTAAAGCTTTTAAAAGCATGTTCAGTACATCCACAAATTCTGTCAATTTGGCGAGCACAAACTGTAAAAGTTACTTCGCATACAAGAAATCACTTTCTACCACAAGCAAAATGCAAAATCCTAAGTCAAAGTGAGCAAGGAAAAAAAAAGCACGAGATCAAGTGCATGAGAATCCAAACCACTAAGCAAGAAAATTGTATATTACTGGATTAAATATACTTCATCCTGCCTGACCCAAAACAATGGTAGAAAAACAGAGCATAATCAAGGCTTCAATTATTATTAGCCAAGGTAAAAAGGTCAAAAAAAAAAATAGAGTTTGAAAAAATAAGAAAAGCAGTTAACTAAAAAGAAAAAAAAAATCACCCACCACAAGACTAAAGCAAACACAAGCTTCAAACAAATCAGACATCTAGCGGAAATGCATTAAAGACCCAGACAAAAAAAATTTTTTTAAAAAATTAAAAATAAAAGATCAGTCGAAAAATCGTCAATTTAAATAAAAATAGAAAGGGACCCATACTTCATTTCCGCTGCGCTATATCAATTGGCGATAAGCAGGACAAGATCAGAGGCTAGGATGAAAATTCCCCCAAATTATATACATAGAAGAGACAGATTATAGATCTGGTGGGGGCGCAAAAAAGAAAAAAAAATTACCTGGAAAACAGGATAATTCGCGGCTATGGTCGAGAGGACGATCGGAGCGGCGATCGACGACGTCGAAAACACTTGATGACGCAGCGGAAGCAGCCGGACGGAGGAGGGGATTGAGAGACCGGCTGAGAAGGCTGCTCGATGAGACCAGCCGCTGAAGAGCTAGTGACAAAGCCATCTGATGATCTGAGTTAGCAGCTGATTAGGTAGTTGCTCGAACTCCGGGAGCAAGAAAGAAGGAAAGAAAAGAAACAATAGATCTGGGGAAAAATCATCAAGGTGTTCTCTCAGGCGAGACATAGGTAGAGCATATTGAAAGAAAGGCATAAAGAGACCGGTTCAAAGGAGAAGGAAAAGACAGCTCAAACGAAAAGGCGATTGCCAAAAAAAAAAGGGGGAAAAGATAGTACCTCCACGCAGATTTGGAAGACAAATGCACAAGGCTATCCTGAAAACAACAAAATAACGTAAAACATAAAAGGACAAGAACAACATCTGTAAAATTCAGCATGCAAGCGAAAATATAACAAAAGAAAAGAAAAAGGAAAAAGGCACAGAAGAAAATTCCGACAAAAAATCAACCTCCGCAAGAACGCAAACAGCTGGGAGAGGAACCCTAGAAAAATATCACAATCATAAAGAGGAAGAGCCAAAAACTGAAATAGGAAGGAGAAAAAGAATCGTACCTCCAATTGTTGGGTAGAAGAGAAGAAATCTCAGGTAAAGGATGGAGGCCATAAATCCAAAGGATAAAATCCATTGTGTGATACGCCTTATTCCAATTAAGAAAGATTCTCAGCCCACCCATTCATAACCAGAGCAGACGAAGGAGCAAAAATGGAAAAGCATGTGCGTGCATTAATGAGATGAGATGAAAAGAGGTGAAAGGGAAGATAACGAAATTTTGGCTGCTATTGTGAGATGAGACGAGATGATGAGAAGAGCCGAGCCGAAGGAGGATGGCGAGCACGTGAGGACGACGAAAAAGCTTGTGAACAGTAACCCTCCTTCGGCTGTTAGTCTTATATGTTGATGATGATAAGACCGTAATAATTGGGGGGGGGAAGGAAATTATTTAATTTTTATTATCATGAATAACTTAAAATTAATTGAATTGATTACTTACTATTTTTCTTGGGGGGGGGGGGAGAAAATGTGAAACCGAAAAATAATGAATTTGACCGGCTGGAGCGATATTTTCTGCGGTCACCTAGATTCCTTGTGATCGTCACGTTGCTTTTACCAAGGTCGGCTTGTAACCGGCTACCTCCGGTTTGCTCCACAGCAAAAAACAAAGCGAAAAGGGGTTTAGGAGTTTTTTGTTTGTTTGAGATCGTGAAAAGTGCCCCTCACAGTCACTGGGCAACACACTAAAATTTAATTGGGTTGGGGGGGAGTAGTCCGACTGCCATTTGGGGAATGAAAAATGCAAAGGGGGAATTAATATTTTAATGAGGGAAAAATGTGGAAGCTTATAGGGGAAGCAAGAAGTGACCCACACGTGTCGGTATGTCCATCCGACGGCCGATGAGGGTGCCACGCTGGCAAGAGGAGCTGGTGTCCGTCGGATGGGGCTGGTAGGAAGGGCTGAGATTGGAGTATGTGTCAAAAGCCATGAATCTTAGCCTTCCACGAGGGTTTGGAGATAGTGAAATACTCCGTTGGAAAGATGATGATGAGATTGAGAGAGCAGAAAAAGAGGGGAGGAGAGAGGAGCTCCCAATAAGTGAAAGAAGATAGAGAGAGAGAGGAAAAAACCAATCCCAAGCCAAAGCCAAAGCCGAAGCCTAACCAAGAAAACACCAGCTATAGAGAGAGGAAGAGAGAAGAACCTCAGAGGATAGATAATACGACGTAGATCTTTCATCTCATCTCTCAAGGAGAGAACCATTTGGGAGAAGGGAGAAAGGAAGTATCTCTCAACAGAAAAAATAAAAAAGCTGGAAAAAATTCATCCATCCATTTTATCCATCTGGGGTCACCGGAGAAACCAGTGAAACTCGAATTTCCGGCAAACCCCACCTCATTTTCCGGCGAATTATGCTGGATAATTCGCTTTTCAGCATCCGGGTCTAGTTGCTTTTCATTTCCATCCGCAAAGATAGGTGGGATAAAAGAAACTGAGTCATCCCAAATCCCGGATAGTTAATATGATGGATAGAAATAGGGAGGCCAGAAGAGCAGCAGCTAGTATGGTGGCCTCTTCTAATGGCTTACCTCGAAGAAGACATAGAAGCAGCAATAGTCTTAGAGATTCCCCAGGTGGGATGTGAAAGAATCTCTTGATTTTTCTTAACTCAGATCTAATTCATACTCTAGTCATCTAAAGATTTGATCTTTATTCAGTTTATTGAATAAAAAAGCTGATAAATTTCAGGTTTTCTTGCTTGTTTTCAGATGAAGATGGACCGGTTGAGTTGCAAGAATCGGTCAGGTTAAGAGAAAGAGTGAAGAAAGATCGAGAGAGGGATCGAGATCGAGATCGAGAAAGGGACAGAGATAGGGAAAGAGAAAGGGAACGAGAAAGAGAAAGAGAAAGGTCAAGTAGGAGTAGTAAAAGGAGGAGAGCTGAAAGAATAATGATTCATGGAAGTAATAGAGATGACGGTGGTGAAGATAGTTCGGAAGAAAGTGTAAATGATGATGAAGATGAAGATGATGAAGATAACGCTACCACCACCGCCGCCGCCGCCGCCAATAATACTCACAACGGCCACCATAACAGTGGTGGGGTTAGGTTGCTGCCGCCTAATCCGGCAGCAGCTTCGGTTGGGGTGAATTCGATGTCAAACCATTTTCATAGTAGTAACAGCAATAGCCACCATCATCATCACCATCATAATAATACTAATAACAATAATAGTAGTACTAATCATAATCATCAACAAAATCATAATCTTCAGCACCGGAAGAGCTTTCCACCTAGTGCAGCCAAGGTTTTTCGGGCCGCTCCGGTGTGGAAAGCTGGTGATGAAATGATTGGTGTTTCAGTCCCCAGAAAAGCTCGCTCAGGTGCCTACTTAATCCAATTCTAGTAAAGAGAGACACAGTAAAAATCCACAATTTATTTTGATGAAATTTGTATAAAGGTTCTGGCTTCTTGAAATTTTGGATTTTTTTTTTGCAGCATCTACAAAGAGGTCACATGATTGGATTAATTCAAGTAATACTGGTGGAAATAACGGTGGATGTGGAGGTGGAGGTGGAGATGGAGGAGCTGGGGTGCCTGGAGTTGGTGGTGGAGAGCAGATTCAGCAGCCAGCTCCGGCTTCACCGGTGAGGCAGGGCTTAATTATAACGACGTCAACGCCGTTGCCGGTGGCTCCAATGTCACCTTCTTCTTCCAATGCTTCAGTTAGGAAGAAGATTGTTAGTCCTTTCACCCAACTCTGCTTCTTCAACTTTTTCTTCCATTTCTGTTGAAACTTTTGACTGACACTGGTTATTCTTGTTGCTGATGCAGAAGCCTAATGGGCCGAAGCAGCCAAGGCCACCCAAGTCATCTTCAAAGGCATCCTCATCGAATCCAGAAGAGCTTGAGATAGAAATAGCTGAAGTCTTGTATGGATTGATGACTCAGTCGCAAGCTCCTCCAAAGAAAGAAATTTTATCCAATGATTCAAGAGAAGTCAACAGATCAAGTAGTGATGCTAAATCAAGGGTTTCTTCTCCGATCTCCAACTCGCCATCAACGGCGAATATTCAGTCCTCCTCTCCCTCCATATTACCTCCCAATTCAGTCTCCTCACCTGCTGGAACCTTATCAGCTGTTGGTGAGCTGCATATTCAGTTCAATACATAATTTTTAGGCCTTCACATTTTTGGGAAATTTTGTTGATGAATTTGACGTTTTTGTAGCTCCAAAGAGGAAGAGACCGAGACAAGTGTCGGAGAATCCTGGGATTTATAGTGTTCGGAACAGCCCCATTTCATCTACAACGGCCAAGTTGGAAGCTGATCAGACCCCCAAGGCTGAGACTTCTTCTCCCAATTTGGAGAAAAACTCGGGATCTACAGCTGAAGGTGGGTATGATTTGGGCAATTTAATGAATTCACACGTGTTACCGCCGGCGGTGGCGGAGCTTCCACTGCCGGAGCCGATGAAGATGGATTCAGAGGCAAAGTTGGAGGTGAAGGCGGCCCTGGCTGAAGAATTAGGCGAAAGCAGAGATGTAGTACTTCCTAAAGAGGAGGTCGTGAGTTCTCCAAAGAAGGAATCCCCTGCAGTAAGAGCAGAGGAGACTAATCGTGAGGATGCTGCATCAGTTGCAGCTTTGGCTTCAGCTACCAAGATGTGAGCATATGAAGATTTGATCTTTGTGCAGTTCGCTTTTCTGGGTTCTTCTTGATTTGGTGTAATTTTGTTTTTTTGTGGGTATTTTTTCAGAAGTTTGACTGTTCCTGAGGTGGATAAACAAAGAGGAGAAAAATTCCAGATAGACCTTGAGGTGAGGATAAGTGCAAGGGCACAGATCAGAGTCTTTCTCGTGTTATTTTTAAATCGATTCGGAGCTTAATCTCTGATTTGAACTTTTGTTTGTGATTAATTGCAATGTAGGCTCCTCCTCCACAGTTGAGATTATCACCTGAAAGAGATGGCCAAATTTGTCTTGGGTCGGCATCAATGAATCATAAGCCTATTGCATCTGATGTTAACACTGTGAGTTGAAACAAGTTTTTGCGTTTTCTAGCGTGTTCTTGGATTTGAAGAGGTGGTGACAAATGATGATGGTTTTTGCAGGAAATGAAGCCAATGGTTGCTAAAGATAAGCAAGAAGAGAAGATGGTGAAGATTGGAAAAGAAAACGGTGTAAATGTGGGAGCTGCTGAAAAGAAAGTGAAATCAGCAGGGGAAGATACAGAATTGCCGAAGAGAGGTGAAAATAAGCCCAGAATTATCGATCTTCAACTGGATTTGGAAAAGCCAGAAAGAGAAAATGGCGCAGGTAACAAATTGCAGGCAGTTCACAAGCAGCAGCAGCCTCTAGGAAAAGCAAACAAAGAAGAACATGCTGAAAAATCTGGCAAGTGGATTTTGGTCATCATTTCTTGAAGCTTTTATAGCTCTCTCTCTCTTCTTTGGGGTCCAAGATTACTAAATCTTTTCTTTTTTCTCCCCCCTTTCTAACCTGTGTTAATTTTCACAGGTCAATCAAATTCTCTGCCTTTACCAATGTCAATGACTAGCTGGCCTGGTGGGCTTCCTCCGATGGGGTATGGTCGGATTTGTTTAATGTGTTTCAATGGTCAATTATTCGAATTAGACACTACTGTTAGATCCATGGTTTAGACACTCGAGTCTGGCGAAATAACACAATTCTCATCAGCAGATACATGACACCAATACAAGGAGTTGTATCAATGGATGGAAGCACTGTTTCCCCAGCTCCAATACAGGTTAGATTTGTTGCACCAAGATTCTCTCTGTTTGAAGTGTTCAATTTTACTCTGGTTTCTTCTCTTCTTCTTCTTTGCCTTCTTTTTTTTTGATTCCGAAAGTGAAATACTGCAGCCGTTTTTTTCTCAACCTCGGCCAAAAAGGTGTGCAACTCATTGCTATATTGCTCGGAATATACACTATCTCCAGCAAATCGTGAAGATGAACCCTTTCTGGCCAGCAGCGGCGGCAGCAGCTGGCTCGGCATCTTTATTTGGATCCAAGGCCTGCAATCTCGGTGTTGTGCCCCCTGCTGATCTGCATGGTAATATCGCTGGGAGGGGCGTCAATAATGCACAGGACAAAGGCCAGGGCCTTGCTATCTTTCCAGGTCATGCTGGGAAAGACAGAGTTTCTCAACCTGCCAGTATTGCAGATGCTGGTCAGAGAAAGCAACAGATTTTGCTGCAGCAGCAAGCCTTGCCTCCTGTTGCACCTAACAATATACTGGTATGGTGCTCTCATCCTACTCGTGTCACATCAACTAGGAGTGATTTAAAAAAAATAAATAAATTCTTTGGTCTCTTTCTTCCTCTTTTATTTTTTTCTTTAATTTTTCTTTGCTGGGAGAAAGT